AAATATCATATTTTTTTTACAAAAAATAAAAATAAAAAATAAAAAAATTGACAGGTACGAGTATGGGTACAGGTATACCCGATACCCGACGGGAATGAGGATGGAGATGAAAATCACATACCCGACGGATATGGGTACGGGGATGGGGATGGGTTTGACTCGCGAGGACGGGGACGGGTATCATGAAACCCGTACCCGACCCGCCCTGTTGCCATCCCTAATTGTCACTATAAGGATCTAAGAAAACCTCTTACGCCAATGGGAAATTAGAACAAGGAAGAAGGAATCAGAAACCTCCAGAGTCCAGCTCTCTTGCTTCTCTCTCTAAAGTCAGAAGATTATGAGCTTATAAAGCTCAACTCAAAATAGAACCTTATATACCTTTCCATCTTAGGTTCAACTAAACTTTTGGCTAAATACCCTCACAAGTTACCTAGCTTACCTAAGTACAACACTACAACTAGACTTAATTCTTTTAAGTCAGGCTTTGAGTTCGAGGATTTTATATGAAAAAATATATAGTTAGAAGAAGAGACCTCACTAAAGATGGTTAGTCAAATTCCTCGATGAAAATTAATCATCTATGAAGCTGATGAACTTCATATATATAGCATGCTTAAGAAAACAAGAAAAAAACAAGTTTGTTGAAATTAATTTCTTTATTAGTTATAGAATACTGAATAATTTCCTTACTTTTCTCCTTAATTATCAAGTTTCTAAAATGTAATTATTTTTTGTGCAAAAAATTATTGAGGAGGAAATGACCAATCATACGATGTGAGTAGGGATGACAATAGTATCAATATAATTCCTCCACAGTGAGAGATTAAGGATTCTATTGTGGATATTTGTAGATATAAATTAAAATATAATTTTAAATAAAATATAAAAATTAAATTAAATAAAAATTACTTTATAAATAATTAAAAATATTTTTAAATTACATATACTAGTATCTTACTACTCATTTCTGTCTTATTATTAAACTAATATCTATTTAATTATTTATTTATAATCCATAACAAGTTCTATCTGTATATATTTATGAGTTTATTTTTTTCTTCCATCCTAAGTGGGAGTGTATTGTGTTAAAAGAAAGTGCGAGTGTAATCTTATTTTTTCATTTGTATGACAGAAGTATAATTTGACTAATTTCCGTCAATCACGATAGATGATATGTTTGGTTCGACAATGGAGAAATCTAAACATGAGAAATTTGAAGTGCTCAAGGTAATTTAATTAGAAATTTGTGTCGGCTTATTTTGTATTGTAATGAAATTTAAATTATTAAATTAATTTTATCATAAAATTATTTTTTAAATGATTTTTAAAGGGGAAAGATCAAATGATTCATGAAGTAATTATAAAATTATTTCACATCTCAACTCTTTGTTTTCTTTGAATTTATCGGTGGAAGATCAATTTTAGATATTACTTAAATTTGACAAAATTTATTAGCCTAATCTTTATTTAAGATAATTTTCTTAATTGACATAATTTATTTTCTATAAATAACATCCTTTTTTGTTTATATTTTTTTTTCTTCGTTTATTTCTTCGCATATCAAAAAGGATAAATAGAGCAAAGTGATCAAATTTTGTCACAATATAAATGTTAGATCCCACTAACTTTACAAAATTAGAACAATAATAAAGTCTAGTTAACAATAATAATTGACTATTTGGTTGTATCCTACTATTGTGAGAATGTCAAGAGAAGATTTATCACAATATTAGAACCTAATCAAACAATCAATTTTTACAGTTAATTAAAATTCACTATTATTCTAATTTCGTAATGTTATAGCGAGATCACACATTCATATTAGAGAAAATTTGATTATTTTGCTCTTTTTATTTATTTATTTTTGATATGTGTAGAAAGAGAAGTGTAAAGAAAAAAAATAAAAATAAAAAAAAGAATAAATTAATTACCAAGAATAATTTATGTCAATTAAGAAAAATTACCTTAATTAAAGAGGAGGCTAATAAATCTCGTCAAATTTAAGTAATATTTAAAATTGATCTTACACCATTAGATTAAAAAAATACAAAATTGAGATGTGAGATAATTTTATAAAGTTATTCTAAGAGTCATTTGACTCTCTCATTTTTTAAATACAAATTACATATTAATTACTTTACATCGATTTCATTTTAGCTAAAATTAATTTTATAAAATTTGAACATATAAAATCGAATTTATAACAGCCACCCAAACACATTATAAACCACTCATCAAATAATCTTAATATCGTATTTCGATTTGGATCAATTGAGACTAAAGTACATACGAACTATCTCTCACATTGGCTCATGATTAAGTGTTAATTCTTCCAAATGCAAGGACAAGGTTAACTTCATTCCTAACAATTAGGGCAATCCTTTTAAAGTAAGTACAAGATATCTTCCAAAATAATAGAAACATGCATATTAATTGACAAAATGAGGAATGCATAATTATAAAGTAATGAAAACCATAACCAAACTAACTAGAAAACAAATTAAACAAAAGCATCAAACTTTTTGCATAAAAGTTCTTGCACGCACGGGTGTTCTTATTAATTTGACATTGAAGAGAGGGATATTTGATGTCGATAAAATATATCTACAACTTGCATTTTTTTTAAATTAATAAAAAAAATATCAACCAAAATAACATATAAATCCACATTATCTCTATAAAATCAATTAAGTAAAAAAGAGTTATACCCTTTTATTAAATAAAAAATAATAATATTTATGTATAGAAATTATCAAAGTGAATTTTGCCTTTCACAATATAATCTTTGCAACTAGAGGAGTCATATTTTTATCAAATATTATCAAAAAAAAAAATCAAGTATTTATTAATTATATATGTAGGCCTCATGCATCTCTTTCTGCCATGGGATGATCGTTGATACTCCACTTGCTTACATCCCCAGTAAGACTAAGAAGGAATGAATAATTAAATTGAATCCCCCAAACAAATTTCTTCAGCATCCAAAATTGATGACATTAGTTTACTATAATAATATACAATTATTGAATTTAATAGTGGAATAGAATTATAGAATCTTTGGCCGGTTGCTTTGTCGGACGTAGTACACCAAGTGGGGCAGGACCATCAAACTGGCCACCGGTGGCGCCGGTCAACACAATCAAACGCATGCGCTTCAAAACAACATTAATCAATCCCACCTCTTGTTTTTATTTTATTTTATTTTTTCCTTTTCGTTTCCCATCCATTTGGATTAATTTAACACAAAGAAAAAAGGTGTAATAGTTTTAGAGTTAATCACTTATACACTGTTAGTGTAAAACTTTTTTACACTGATAATTAATTATATCATTTAATTGTGTCATGTTACTGTTAAAAATGACACAATTAAAAGATATAATTAGTTGTCAGTATAAAAAAATTTTATACTAACAGTGTATAGATGATTAACTCATAGTTTTATAATAATATAGTTAAAGTTAAAAGCAACAATACATTATATATATATCATTTGAATTTATAATGACAGGAAAGTACTCAGACCCTCCAAAAACAAATAAATAAAATAAAATAGACGAAAAAAGAGTGGGAAAACGAATGAGAGTGGGTGGATACCGATTCTTTAGATTCAATTAGATACTCGTATTTTTTATTTTATATTTTTTTTTGTTACAAGATACTCGTATACAGTGAAATTAAATTATTCACAAGGTAATGTACCAAAAGAATATTCGCAAAGTCATGGCGGTGCATATAAACTGCATAACACAAACAAACGAATGAATATTCAAGGCTTTATGTTCTCAATCTGTAAAGAAACTTTTAATATAGGGTGTAGATTAATTATATTTCTTTTAAGCTACAAGTACCCTTCCTAAGAGATAATTTTATCCAAATTGAGAACATCAACAATACCATGAAGTTAACTTTTTCAATAACGAAATATTTTTTATAAATAAAACTTGACTCATGCCCTTTTTTAAAGAGAAATAAGCATCACTGCTGAAAACCAATAACTCCTTGGTAGTAGAATAATTATACGGTTTCTCTTGTTGTTGTTGTTGTTGTAGTTTATTTTTTATTTTTATTTTTATTTTTGTGTGTAAAACAGTTGAATGTTCTGCTTGGTTTTGGTCTTGGCAGGTAAAAGAGTTAGGCCCATTTTGATTAACAGGTTGGTTGTTAATTTATAGTGGAAGATAGCTGTTTGACACAAAAATCCTCCTACCCACAAAAATCAAAGTAAAGGGCAAATATAAAGGACACAACATACAAGAAATTTGAAGTGGAACCGTGTTTAAGGTTAACATTTTTAGTAAAAAAATTAAAATAATGTTATGTTGAAAAAATTCATTGCCTCGTTGTGAATCGATTTTTTATTATCATATTTCAGACAAAAATTACTATTTTTTTAATCAATTTTTAACTAATTTTGTAATTCTTCAACCAGATTTTTCTCAAGACTAGCTCTAAGATTAGTTTAAATCGAAAATAATCAAGTTCAATGATTTTTTATCCAACTGGCATATAGATTTAGAACACTTCAACTGCTTTTAACTAAATAAAAAGATCATTAAATCAATAGCTGAATTATTAATATGATAAAATACACACGCACACATTAAAATCTTAACTATTAATTCTTTAATCAACAATTATATTCTATCTTAATTATTATTAGGGTTTTTTTTCAAGAGTGCAGATGCACAGTCAAATTCAAAACATAACATGTTAATTCTATTTTATATTTAATATATTTCAAAAATAGAACACAACATCCTATTCCTCTTTAACTGTCAAGTAAAGCACATGAACCATTTAAAAATCAAGCGCAGACAAGTCACTAAACAAAATCCATGTTCTATTCTCTCCTGCTACAATTTTCGAAGACTCGCCAGTTTTTTCCTGCTTCATTATATATGTCCACACATCAAACATTTCTTAAATAAGTAGTTGTGCAAGACTATGTAAGGTTCATCATTAACAACAAAAATGATTAAAAAAAATCCAGTACACAATAGAAATCGAACAAAAGATCTTTTTGAAGGAAAAATGAATCCCAGATCAAATTGTGACAATATCTTCACAAGAACTAGGTTCACAAATCACATAATCTCTTCCCACCAAACAATTAAAGCAAAACATAAACCTGTGATTGATAATTCTCCTGGCACAATAAATTCTTCCACAAAAATGTAGGGATTTTGTAACAGGGTAACCAATAATATTTTAGACATCTACTTCTATAGTGAAATTTGAACTACAAATTAGTTTCAAAAGACAACCATGGAGCATACATTTAAACTTCAAGAGACACTGATCAGGTATCCTCTAGACCGAAGAGGGTCTGATATTGATATTGTGTGTACATGTAGTCTCAATGCATGCAAGTATCTTTTTTCCCCAAACTGTTGGCCAATGTCAACCACCTTGCAGCTGTATAACTCGCAACTACCTGCTAAAGATCAGACATTATCAAAAGCTAGGAACATACATCACAAAGCATAAGCTTATGAGGTTAATTTGTGGAAGAAACATCTTATTATTAGATGTTATTGTATTAGAAAACATAACATATAGTAAATAGGGCACAGATATCGTACCGAAATCCCCTCTCAAGGAGATAAACCATTAAAACCTTAAAACCGCTTGGGCTTAGAATCTGCCATTGAGACTCGTATAGCTCTGCCATTCAAGTCCTGCAGCCAATGTCAAATAATCACTTTATGGTGGTTAAGCATGTAATTGAAGATGGTGTCAATGAGAATAGGTCCACGCAGTTGTACACAAGGACCCAACTAAAGCAAGTAAGAACATAACTTTTTACAACACAAATTCATACATTAAGACACATGAATTCATTATTTTCAAATTGGTTAAATTCCAAAAGTAGACTTTCAAACACAATCGAATCTATGAATGCAGAAAGATCAAACTTATATCGAAAACAAATTAGAAATGCTTCTTATCTAACATTATTTGGTGCCCATCTGCCTTCTCATTTACATGTCTTAACTGATTCATATCAGAAAAAATTTTAAAACATCCATTTAGCAAAGGGGACGGATTAGCATGCTTACCACACCATCCAAGGACTGAATTGCACTGTTGACCTCATCAGGGCTACTGTAAGTCACAAATCCAAATCCTCTTGATCGTCCACTTTCCCTGTCATAGATTACCCTAGCTTCCAAGACCTTTCCTTGTTCCCGGAACAATGACTCGAGTGCTAAATTGTCAACACCCCAAGCAAGATTACCTACATGAACACGGTTTTCACTATCTGAAAAACCACCACCACCTCCTCTGGGACCGGAAGAACCTCTAAAACGAGGAGAACTCTCACTCCGGGAAGGGGGTGGCCCAGCATTCACTCTCAACGCCCTTCCCTCCAGTTCCTATGAAATTCAAAAGATTCATACCTTAGATGTGATAAAAACAAATGGTCAAAGACATACATGACAAGGACAAAAAAACAAATATATTCACATTTCACTTCATACAACCTCAACCTCTAACAACCAACACCGTTTAATATTGTTGTAAGCCAACTTCACTAATAGCTTGTTTGGTTTGATGCAAACTAATCAATGTCATGACATACATTGTTTTAAATTGTAATTCCAAAATCAATTATGTGCAGTGAAACTTTAAACCAGTGAAAATATTTAGCTTTCAAGGTAAATAAAATTGATTCTGGGCACAGGACCCACTAAGCGTGTTTGTGGTTTATTAAGCAATAAAAAGTAGTTTCCGCATTAGTTTGAAAATTCTACACTAAACTTTACATCAAACTTGCTCCCAGGATTAAATTGTTAAAACATTTCAAACATAAGCCACTTCACTTCGCAATCAATTTTAACCAAAATCAACTTTTGCAAATTCAATTTTGAAAACACTCACCCAAACACACTAAACCTTCAAATTATACTTGAAAACCAATTCCACTTTACCATCCAATAAAACCAACTCTCCTATAATTACGTTCAAAACATAACTCCCACACATATCAATTTTACCAACCCCATTTCTTCAAACAGCAACAATTCCAAAGCAAAAAGTAAACGAACCCTAAAAAAAAAAAACTCGAACTTCAAAGACAAACTCACATAGCCATTGAACTGCTGAGCCGCCGCTTCAACTTCCTCAACCGAAGACATGGTCACAAACCCAAACCCCCTGCTCCTCCCAGTGGTCTTATCATAAATCACCTGCAAAAACAAGTCACAACCCACTTCAATTCCCCCCAAAGGTTACCCTACAAAACCCTCAAAAACCAAACTTGTTAACGGAACAGAAACATCTCTCACCTCTACGACCTCCACATTCCCGGCGCTCTCGAAGAGCTCGGCGAGCTGCGCGCTGTCGACGCTGAAGGGAAGGTTTCCGACGAAGAGCTTAAGGTCGGGGGAGAAACTGGGGCTGTCGCTGTCGCCGTCGCCGTCGCTGAAAGTGTCCTCCTCCTGCTCCAGCTCCGACGAAACAGCGACACGTGGAACGAAGCGAGAGGACAACGACAACGTTGTTGGCTTGAGGAAAACTGCGGAAATGGAGATGGGTTTGGAGTTGGGGGCGAGGGAGAGGGAGGAGAAGCATTGCGGGGAACACAGAGGTTGTCTGGTTCGGAGAGTGAGTGTGGGAAGTGCGAGAGAAGCTGCAGAGGTAGACATGGTTTGGTTTGGGAAACGAACGGATAAGGTTTTTGGTGAGAGTAAGAGGAAGAAATAGGGTTTATGGAGGAAGAGAGGATTCAGAGTGAGTGAGCACTGTGATATTTATGCACGTAAAAGGAAGGGTTAGAAACAATCCAAAATGAGAATGCATATCGATAAGGTAAGGTATGCTGCCCTATGCTTCATTTACTAATTTATCCTTCCACTATCAGATATTTTGTTCTTCTTTCATGTAGATTCAATACCTATTTACTATTTACTACTTACTATTTACTATTTACTATTTACTATTTATCTAGACTCTACTTCCAAGAATAAATTGAATAATTATTTTGGTTCTCAAAAACAAAAATTGAATATTGAATCTCCCTTCTATGTGAAGGATATCTTTGGCAGAAAAACATTTGTACGCGTGGCCATGTTTCGTTCAGATATTTTTGCTGTGGGTGAAATCTGCGGAGATATTTATTTACACTGATGGGCCTGTGTGAATGGAGAGATATTTTTGTTACCAAATGGAAGTGGCCCAAGTCCAAGTCATGGATCCAAGTGGAAGTGGGTATTGGGCAAGTGTGATATGTTGTTTTTGTTCTTATCTTCTGTGTAGGGCCCAAGGAAAGCTGGATTTCTTCCTTTTAGGTTGCAAGTGGATGGTCTTGCATGGTCACGTAATCATATCATGCAGACATACATAATGTGGACCCCATGTGGCTTTGCCTTATATTCACTATCGTCCTTGAAAAAATTGAATGTTAACTTCACCATAAGTTGTCATCTTCATTTTTTTGTTAAGAGGTTCATTCAGATTTGTGTTCTTGACCACATTAAGTGTGAATTATTTGGACTCATGCAGGGTACGTAAGCAGACTCAATGGAACTACTTGCATTCCCAACTTGTCATGCATCCCAGACTATACAACCAACACAAATATTGACTCTATTGTACAAATTTCAGCTTAAAACCCATATGATGTGGGTTGGGAAGATTAGGTGTTGCGTAATCCCGAGTATTTTTTGAGTAATAAATAATGTCAAAAAATTACAATTACAAAGAGATTAACTTTCATATATGTTTGAAGAATTCGTTTTGCAAGTGCTCAATGATTTAAAAATGAATATTTGATACGTTTCATACAAATTATGATACGGTATAAGGAAAAGTGGAGAACAACACTTAACACATGACAGACGCTTAAGTTAGTGAACACCCTATATATTATCTGGCCAAACACAAATAAAATAATATTTAAGTTTCTACAAATAAATTCTTATTAATTATTTTAGTGAATGATAATGATAATTGTAATGATGATAATTAATGACAACAATAATACTTATATTAATAATAATAATGACAATAATAATGATGCTATTCACGATAATAATTGTGAGACCTGAAACCCTTGTTCCCTTGTTTCTTTCTTTTCCCTCTTTACTCTCATTTCTTCATGAAGCTTCTTCAGTGTTGTTTTCTTTCTCAAGGTTGAAATGGTGGAGCTTAGGCTGTGAAGAAATATTTTCTTCTTCCATTCTTTTCTTCTTCTCCATTCTCTTCTTCTCTATTCTTCTCTTCTTCTTCCTCGTGGAGCTTGAAATTGAGGTAAGGGAAGCTAGAAAGCTTGAGATTTTGATTTGCATGTTAGGTTGTTTGAATGAATTTAGACTTGATTCTGAAATTTGTGAATGGGGGGATGAATTCAAAGTGAATTGCATGTTGAACATTAGGGTTCTGGTTTCTTAATGGAAGGTTGAAGATTGATGATTTTCTTTGAATATGGCTACATGCATGTTGAATTTCTTGTGTTTTTTAGGCTGTATGAACAAATTGGGTAGAGATTTTGGATATAGATTATGTTTAGAGGGAAGATTGGTGAAGAGGAGGAGAGGATTGAAGGTGAAATCCATGAAATTGTAGAAAATTCTGAGACCTACAACCATGGTTATGGGTGGCAAAACGGGTCAACCTAGCTCGTTTTGGCCCGCCCCGCCAATGGCCCGCCCCGCCCCGCCCCGCCAATGAAAAACGGGTTGAAAATGTTGGCCCACCCCCCCTAAGGATGGGTTGGCGGGCCGGCGGGCTAGCCTGCATACCCAAAAAAAAATTGCAAAAAAATGGAAAAAAATACATATTTTATGTTCAAATAAAAAAATGGAAAAAACATTATAAAAAAAGAAATCATTAAAGATAATTATTCAAAATTTCTACACAAAGACACGCAGTATCTATTATTATTTTATTTTATTAAATACACAAAGACACGCAGTATCTATTTTATATAAGTTAAATTAAAAGTGTTTCACATATTACGATATTATATATATTAGTTTATAACTTATATTGTTATTGTACAATCTTGCAACCGTATTTTTGTACAATATCCTTTGTTAACATATTTCAATTACTTCTGTCAAAAAGCATGAGCTTAGTTTTTACATTGGTTTAAAGATTATTCTAATTTTCATAACTTTATATATCTTACATTTGTAAAGTATGGCATATCTATAGTAAGATTGACGCGTAACTTTGAAAAGTTAGAATATCGATCTCCATAAAAAAAATTGCTACAAATAAATAAATATAATCATATAAAATTAAAAATCCATACATATTGTACATAATATATGTTCAACAAAAGCAAATTACAAACTTATAAATTACTAATAATCTAAAAAAAAATTTATAGTCTATAAAACAAGTCTAAACACACTTAATCAACTTTGACTTTCTATTTCAAGAACATTAGAAGCTCCCTTGGAAGAAGTTGTCTCTACTTTTTCATTTTGATCATCTTCATCCTCATCTTCTACATCAAAATAAATTAAACATAAAAAAAATTAAAGTAAGGATGTTGAAATGAATATCAAAATTATATAAATAATAACATTTAAGAATTAAAATTGGATTAAATGAATTACCCGGATTAAAACCATACTTCCAACTAGAAACACAAATAATTGCTTCTACATTTTCAGGCAAGAGACGGTTTCTATACTTGTTAAGGATACAAGAACCAATATTAAATGTAGATTCAGATGCAACTGTGGTAATAGGGATGCTTAAAAAGTCCCTAGCCATTAAGGAGAGATCCGGAAAACGTTGACTATTATTCTTCCACCATTGTAGTATATCCATATGCTCCGTAAAATCAAGATCTAAAGTGGGTTCATCTAAATATATATCAAGTTGAGTCCTTCCAGATTTATTAGCAACTTGAAGCTTGTGCATTTTTAATTCCTTATATGATAAGAAAAAAAAATAAGTTAGAAATATACATAATATTTATATGAAGGAAATCATGATTTCAATAAATTAAAGTAAATAACTTACATCAAAAAGGTTTGGTTTGCTATTGATCGAAGATGAAGAAGAAACATCCTTACGCTTTAGATTTTGAGCATTTAATTTAGAACCATGGCTAAAATAATGGGAGAAAAGCATGTAAACTTTTTCCTTGACTTTCTCCAATTTTATTTCCCAAGTAAGCAAATCAATTCTTTCATAGCAATAACCCAATGTTTCTAACTTCATCCTTGGGTCTAAAATTGCACCAAATGCAAGCACAACACTATACTCATCCCAATACTTTTCAAATTTCTCCATCATATCAATCCAGTCATATCTCTTACAACTTTATCTTCACCTGTTACACTTCCCATTAAAAGGCATTGGATTTTCCAAACTTGTAAAAAATACAAGTTGGAAGTAGGATAACTTGTGCCAGAAATTAATGTTGTAATTTCATAAAATGGTTGCAAGAATTTACAAATCTTTGTTGCTCTTTCCCATTCTTCATCTGAAGGACAATATTTGTAATTTTCATCAACCAAATGCAGACTTCCAAAAACACGTTGATATTTAAGAGCACTTCGAAGCATCAAAAAAGTTGAATTCCATCTTGTAGGTACATCTAGACACAATGCACTTGATGAATTAATGTCACTAAATTTTTTAAGACATTTTTTGAATTTGATCATTCTACTCTCTGAACCCCTTAGATATTTGATGCTAGTTCTAATTTGATCCAAAGTGCCATCAAGTACCTTTAATCCTTCTTGAACAATCAAATTTAAAACATGAGCACAACAACGCACATGAAAAAATTCACCATCACATATCAACCCTTTTTGCAAAACAAGTTGTTTTTTTAACGTCTGTTGTAGAACATCATTAGCAGAAACATTATCCAAAGTGATAGAGAAATTTTTTTTCTCTATTCCCCAATCTTGTAAAAAGTCCCCAATCTTTTTAGATAACTCAAAACCAGTGTGAGGGGGAGGCATATGATGAAAGTTAAGAATCTTGCTATTTGACTTCCAATTTAGATCAACATAATGAGTAGTTAAACTAATGAAACCCTCAGTATTACAAGATTTCCATAAATCAGAAGTTAAACAAATTTTATTAGGAATGGTAGCCAACTCACTTTTAAGCCTTGCTTTGTCTCTAATAAAAATTCTCCACATATCAACCTTAAAAGTATTTTTAGAAAATGTATTTTCATCAGGATTCAAATACGTTATCAAAGCCTTAAACACAGGACTCTCAATAAAATTGAAGGGAAAACCATGTCTTATCATTAGATGACAATACAACTCACGAAAAATCATTTGATCTATCTTTCTTGATTTCAACTTTCCTTGCATGTTTAAGATCATTTGACTCATATCTTCATATTTTCTTTTCTCACATTTGGGAATATGACGATTTAAATGAGAAGTCCCATATGCTTTGCCACCAACTACATAAGTTTTGCCACAACCATTACACTTTGCCCTTTCTTTTCCATCATCACCCTTTCCCATCCTAGTAAAAAAATTTCAACAATCTGATGTTGTGGACTTGACCCTTTTGTTATCATGTAGAACATCAGTGGATTCAAAATCTTTTTCAACCTCCTCTACCTCAATTTCATTATCACAAACAGTCATAGGTTTACTAATTGACTCGTCCATTTCAATTTCCAAATCTAAATATCCATGTTAAAGTTATTCAAAACACACTACTAAGTAGTAATCAAATAATCAATACAACTAAACTACAAAAGAAGGAAAATCTAAAATATGCATGAAAATGAATTTTACCCTTTTTTATCACCAATCTTGCCAAAGAA